ACATTTGGCAATATCCTGAGACGTTTTGGATTGTCAAAACTGAAGTGGGAGGCACTACTGGCATCTAGTGGGTAGAGGCCAGGGATGCTGCTAAACACCCTGGACAGTGCTACAATACAAAGAACTTTCTGTCTCACAATATCAAGTGTGCCAAGATGGAAAAATACTAGCAAGACTTACTCTAGGACATAGCCCTTATTCCTGTGTGGTGGGTTAGCAAGGCATTAATAAGATCCTTCACTCTGCCTGGAATGGACCTCCAATGACTTTGTTGCTCTCTTATAAGCTTCATATAGTCTTGCTCTGCAGATGCTATTGAATGGGAGAATTTGTAATATTACATTGAAGGGAGTAAGCAGAGCAATAAGAACAATTTCTACAATGGCAATCTTTACAATGTAGCTAATTCTGCTTTTAGAGCTAAGAATTTTTAGTTCAGGCTCGGTGCCTGTGGCTCAAGTGGCTAAAGTGCCAGTCACATACACCTAAGGTGGCGGGTTCGAATCCAGCCTGGGCCTGCCAAACAACAATAATGGCTGTAAACAAAAAATAGCCCAGTGTTGTGGCGGGGGCCTGTGGTCCCAGCTACTTGGGAGGCTGAGGCAGGAGACTCCCTTGAGCCCAGGAGTTGGAGGTTGCTGTGAGCAGTGAAGCCATGGCACTCTACCCAGGGGGACAGCGTGAGGCTCTGCTCAAAAAAAAAAATTTTTTTTAGTTTATACTATTATCTCAACGCAAACCTTTATCTTCTTTTGAGCACTAAACTTAATGTCTCTGAAAACGTGTCAGTATATTTTTATGATGATGTTTATTTGATGTTTGTAGATAATTATGTTGAATACTAGATTCTGAAATTCAAAAAGTAGCTTAATCTGATGATACCAAAAGTTATAAATGCTAGCCATGTGCCTAAAAAATTACTTGATTGGGAATTAACTTACACATATGAATGTGGATGCTGTTGGCAAGGAAACCCAGCCCTTTATGTCACATTTCACTAATATCCATCACTACTGGCTTCTCTTACTAAGGGAGTTAATGATAGTATACCATAATCAAGGAGCCAATGTATAAATAAAAATAAAGTTAAAGGCTGAAGACAAAGGAGTTTTATGACTGGGCACCATGGATAAGATACACCACCTTACTTTTGCCAAAAAGGGTATCAAGACCCATCACAGGCATGTTTTGTCTCAAGCTCTATAAATTTGCCACTGCCTTCTTACTCATGTAAATTCTTCTTCCCTCCTACCACAAAAATCCAACTTCAACTCAGATTAAACAATGAAGGGTATTGCTTTTATCCATGCACTGTCTTTCTAATCCACAAACTAATTTCTCTCTCTCTTCACTTACAAAATGTAGTGCACTATTAAAATAAAATTATTCTCATACTAGGAATTTTACTTTCTTAGTTGGTTTGGAATCTACTACACTACCTAGCAAAACATACCTGTTCTTGGGCATTAGAAAATCAAGACTTTCTGATATAGGTAAGTAGAGACAAGATAAATGGGCCAATCAAGTGACCTAAACATTTGTATCCTTGTATTAATCTGAAATTTAGAAAATAAGAACAAATAGTTTCTAATAAGTAATGATGGTCATGTCTAAATACGGATTTATTTATTGCATTGACTTTTATGTCTTTACCATGGTGCTTTTTTTTTTTTTTACTATTTTCTGAGCAGACTACAGAGTTATAAATGCACTTGACTTTCTAAGAGTATTCAGTGTTGTTGCTTTTTGTTCTTGTTTATAAACTCGGAAAGTAAAGTCAATTAGACTTCCATTTAATTTTGTTAAATGCAAAATGAAATAGTAACTTCTATTTGATGAACACAATAATGGCTAAGCTTACCAAGGTTAGAAATGCAAATGGTAATATGTATATTCACAATTCATACTCAATAAAAGGAAGAGAATTAGCTATCCCGAAAATAAACACAAATATAATATTTGAAACCCAGAAAATATGTAAAAAGACTATTTTTCAAAGATAAATACTCTTAGTGCTTATCATTTTGATGATCTCACCTGCAAGGTTGCTGGCTACAAAAGAGGTACTTTGAAGACCAGGGTCAACATGTTATTATTTAGGCTTACAATCATTTTAACTATAAAATTTTACGTATTTAAATGAATCATGCATCAGTGATTTTTATAAGGATAATATGGCATCCAACAGATAAATAACTTGAATATATAACTTCTGCTCATATTACCCTTTCTAATTACCACATGATGCTTTGATTTTAAATGAAAAAAATAAATATATCTGTTTTCCCAAAAAGATTACAAAATGAGTACTTTGTTTTAGGGCTTATATTTATTTTCCAATTATATTTATTGAACTTACAGGCAATATAGTATCTTGATCTCTCTATGACATTCAACAACGCCAAAAAAACAACTTTTATAATGTGTCAATAGCAATAATTACTGAAGTTTGAGCAAGCAATTTACAATTATCTGCTATTAAGAAAAAATGGATTCAAAAGACATGTAATTGCAAAATAGTATTTATAAGTGTTAAGATATAAATAGCCAAAATAACCTTAATACCTCAAGCATTGTTCTAATTGTGATATTTATGCAAATTTTTAAAATCGAGAAGCACTTTGTCTAGTCACAATGATCATTAAAAAGAAAATACATAAAAGTGTCTATTTAGCTAATAGTGCATGTTAACGCTTTAGCTTGATGTTGAGTGGTACTACTATCCCTTCCAAATCATTAGATATCAATAACCTTTGTCACAAGCTTTTTATTTCACAAATAATCTGATGAAGATGCCCCCATTTCAAAAACTAAAGTAATTAATATTTATCTTTGCTCAAAACATTTCAGTTTTTCTGAACAGAAACACCCAATCTTAGACTACTGGATGAACAGCGACATCTAGTGGTTATTATCTCCCTGCTAAACAAAGCATAAACTGGAGTCTCCATGAAACAAGTGAAATTGCCACAGTGTATTTCCAATGAAAATGTATAAGAAAATTATAAACACTTTCTAGTAGATTCCTTCTGATATGGTAATAATATGAACTGAAGGAAAATCCAAGACTACCATCTAATTTTTATTCTTTCACAGAAAAATAACCTGTGTAGATTTTTATTAAAATGCAATTTTGATTTCTTCATGTCTCAGTACTTGTTTCTAACAGAGTGACATAAGGAATTTGAAAACACTATGAACTTTAAATAATCAATTCTCTTTTATGAACAAATGAACTGGAATGTCCCAGAAACAGACTGAGACACTCCATAAGAAAACACACTAAATTAATACATTAGTATTAATACATGCTCAAAATTAATACATTATAAAAGTTTCTAGTCTATTAACTATTCTTGAATTGAGTTTACTCTGAAGGTGTTATTAATTTTTTTATTATCAGGGCATATCTAGTTCATCAAGATTTTCTAATATAATTCTTTCATGAAATGGAATAGTAGAATCAAAATGGAATTATCAAATTGTTTCACCATCAAAAACTCATTGTTTCCCAGATATGACTCTTTCCTGCTAATGAAAAAGTCAGTATATTCTTTGGCTATTTTCCACAGCCCATCTGAGACAGCCAAACAAGCTTTTACTGTTCACTGGAACCTCTGCTCATCATCTCCACACAAGCTGCCCAACTGAAACTACTGCCCAGGCCTTTATGGCCAGCTCCAGAGAAACCACCTTCCTGTTACTATGACAGACTTTCTCTGAGCATGAACCATATGTTGCAGTTCCTTGGTTGTTCATATGGTCCATGGGGATTCCAGATGAACTGAGGTACTCCCTAATGTGTCTAGACATACATGAATGAATATAGGTGGGCTTAAATATCTGTCCACCATTTTTCCTAAACCAACTGCCAAGGACTAAGACTAGACCTTTCTCTTTAACAAGGCTTTAATAATGATCAGAAACAGGTGCAAGGCCTGGACAAGCTTTTGTGTTAAGGTACCAGCCTCCCCAAATGAAGAATGAGCATATTTGGTACTCCCAAATCATCAAAATATCCACTACCCAGCCACATTACTAGTGGCTAGTTATCAGCTGGGACATTCATCTCCGTGCTACCTATGTGCATAAAGAGGGCTGTAGCAGCCAAGTCCCCCACTGACTGCGTACAATGGTCCACAGGAGTGATATCTCACAGGCATCATCAAAGTGGGGACCTCCTAGAATGTAAAGAACCATTGTAATACCACTTAAGACTTTCACATAAATGCCAGGCAGACATGACATAGGGGCACATGATCCCAAACCACTCAACCTTACTAAAGCAATTAGTGTGACTTAGAACTCTGAACTAACTAGATTTAGAACT